CCCACCTCTTTCTCTGTTGTGGTGTATGGAGGGGAAGTACTGTAAATAGTCACCATTAAACATGGTTTCTGCATGCTTTTTAATTAAACAATCAGATTGCCATGATAACTTTCTAGTTTGTGAAATATTTCATCTTTTAAATTGTGAATGGAAATCAGATTTCCTAAAATATTTTTCAGAATCTAGTTACATTAATGTGTCCTTTACCCTATTAATTAGATTCATTGATTTTTAAAATGCTAAATTACAATTGTATTTCTGAAATAACATTTACTAATCTGTATCATATATGTTACCTTTTTAATATAACATGAAAGCTTATTTGATGATATGTGATGATTGTCCATTATTTATCCCTTTGGAAAGGACCCCTATGGAAGGCCTCACCCTCCCTGGAGAATAGAAGGGATATGTGATAGGTAGGGTTTTAGTTGCGGGGGAGGGGGTGGTGGTAAGGAAGCAGGGGAGGGAGTGGGAACTGGGATTGATATGTAAAACAATCTTGTTTCTAATTCAAATAAAAAAGAAAAGAAAAAATTAATATGTGAAAATCTAGCTGTGACAATGAATCATGGGTCTTTGTTATCTAGCTAGGTTATAGAAATCTTCTCCATAATGGTGTATAATAATCTAAGCTTCTTATTGAATATGTATGTTTCTTTCAAAATTTTCACATAATAAACTCTTGTGTGCATAATTATCTCATGTGTATCTGTTTGGCAGAGCACTAGTCATCACTGTGTGCATCATGTCATTTCAACCCAACTGTAATTTAAGTATCAATTAACAAGATGTAGAAACTCAAATGTCCTGGTTATTTTCTGTAGGGTTCAGTGTCACAAAAGCTCCCTAGTGTGGTTCTAACTGAGGAGTGCTACCTATTAAGAAACAATATAGAATTATATATATGCAAACCCAAGAAAATGCTTCCTGAAACAAATGAATGTCTAAGGCAAATTCAGATGACAAGAAAAGGGCAAGTGAATCACAACCACTAGATTTCAAAATCTGAAGCTGGCTGAAATACAAGGTTGTTTCCTGCTGTAACCATGTGTTTGTTCACCAATAAAATGGGGAAAACAAATAAACAACATAGAAATGGATCAATATTACATGGCTTGTTAGAAGGACAAAATAAATAAATCCTACTAGTATGGCCTTTATTAATTTGGCCAATAGATGTCCATGTCTTGCATTTCTCTCTAGTTGAGTTTGACAGATGAAGAAAGAGGGAGAAGAGAAAAGAAAGGGGGAGAAGAGGAGAAAAAAGGGGAAAAGAGGAGGGAAGGAGAGGAGAGAGGAGGGAAGGAGAGGAGAGAGGACAGGCTGAAGGGAGGGGAGGAGAGAGAAGGGAAGGAAAGGAGAAAAAGCCTAGCAATTTCTTTCCTCTATCAGAATGTTCCATGGTAGTAATTCTCTAGTGCATGGAAACAAATGCATTCCCTACACCGAAAACTGCCATCTTGGTAAGATGTGTAATAATAAGGAGACATGACTTTTTCTCTATCATCAGAAGGTCTATGCAAATATGTTATCTGTGTGACATTTCCACTCACTGTACAAAGCATGTAGAACTTAGTCACATCAGTTAGAGGTGACTAATCAGGATCTGACTAGGTGTTTCTTAGTTAGCAAATAACTGAGTCACGTGCTCAGGCTACAACTTTGAAGCTGAGGGTTATGACATGAGATGAACAGAAAGAACTTTGGAAATAGTGCACTGGCTAGTGCTTTAAAGGTACTGGCTCTAAGGTCAGAGATGCCTTATGCTTCAGGGCAATCCTGAGTCTGTAGGGCAAAATCAAATGTGCTATCCTCTGGGGCTACAAGACTTTGTACAAAACTTTATGTGACAATCCTTTAACTACTGAAAAGGAAGATTCATTTCTAAGTGCATAACTTTAGTAAAGACGATTGTGTAAATCACATTGATGGGTCAAAGACAGAACAAAAACTACTACATCTGTATGGAATGTGTGCAGACTTTAGTTTTTGGCTGTCATTTCCCAAACAATTGAGTGTAACTACTACTTTTAAAAAATGTACAACTAGAGAAAAACCTAACATATATGGGATGGTATACATATGTTTCTAAAAGATTTAATCAATTAAGAATAATAATGTAAGAGAGAAGCCTAGAAATACAATTCAGTAGCAGTATTCATGTAGCACCAGTTGGGCCCTAGACCCAACTCCCTTACAGGAGAGAAAAACCAGGTCCTGTGGCACAGACCTGTAATCCCAGAACTTTGGAAGCAGAAGCAGAAGCAGAAGGATCAGGACCTCGAATTTTTTTTTTCTTTTGGCTGTATATAAAGCCAGAGTGAGCTAGGCAAAATCCAGTCTTGAAAAAAAAGGCCAGCTATTTAGTGTCTCCATAGAGCAGTGGTTCTCAACTTGTGGGTCATGACCTACCTTGAGGGGGTCAAATGACCCTTTCACAGGGGTCACCTAAGACCAACAGGAATACAGATGTTTACATCACAATTTATAACAGTAGCAAAATTACAATTGACAACCATTGCAATAGAGGAATTCAACAGCTTCATGTGCCCTAGATGACGGCATTAGGGCTTTTGGTAGCAGGTAAACAGTAGACATGCTTCCTAGGAAACCTAACGTCTACTACTCTCTCCATCAAAGTGCCTTGGACTTCATTTCCTGTAGGGAAGGATAGAGTTTATGATGTCCCAAACTGACAAACCAGGCTGCAAGGTTAACTCACACACACTTGCCTTCATGAGGTTTCCTGGAATATGGAAAAAAATGACTTTTTCCAGTCAACTTACAAACACATTGTTTATCCCCTGGCGTTTCCTTCCCAAATCCACTAGACTCCCTTCTCTGCTCCATGGGAGTGTGTGAGCAGCCAGAATGTTCTTCTGTAAGGATAGCTTTCCCTGAGAGTCCCTATTCCCTTCAAGAAAGCCAGCTCTCCCACACTTGTGTCAAGGTGTCCTATGGCTACCAGTCACTGCTTATCTCAGCATGCTTTCTGGGTTCTGGGTTCTGGGTTCTGGGTTCTTCTACCCTTGCCCATACTTACTTCACTAAATTTTTTCCTAAAAATCCAAGGTGAGTGTGTATTCTAGTTCTTGGTAGCATCATGGCTGACATATATCTCACTACATTTCTTCCTATTCATTACCTCAGGTGGAATTAAGCCTTGTGTTAAATTCTTCAGAAGATTAAAACTGGTGTACTGTGGTCAACACTGAGTTCGCCTCTCAAGGCTTTGGAATGCATCAGTTATCACAGTTTGCATACCTCCACCTCAAGTATACATGGTTGACAAGAGTAAACATCAGATGTTTGCTTTACGAAAGAAGTGGCTGCTGTGAGACGGCTGAGCGGGTAAAAGTTTCTTGCAGGCATGCATGATGACCTAAGTTCCATCCCTATACCCCACATGGTGGAAGGACAGGGCCAACTTTCACAAGTTAGCCTCTCTTATCTACATACAAGTCATGTAATATATATACACACGTGTGTGCACACACACAAGTAAGTAAATAAATAAAACAAAGGGATAAATTAGATACAAGATATTCTAAAAATGATAACAGTTCTGTTCATTGCAACAACAAGATTACTTTCTATCATTTTATTATTTAAGTGATACATTAAAATTGTAGGTATTTATGGAGTACCATGCAATATTTCAATGCAATATTCAAAATGAGAAAACCTATCTGGGCATATTGGTCATTTCTTTATGATAAAAAAAACCCTAGATCCTTTCTTTTGACTTAGAAAATTCAGTACACTATCATTATCTATAATAACTGTGCTTAGCAACCAAATACTGCATGAATAGATTTAAAAGAAATGTGCTGCATATACACAACAGAATACTATCAAGCACTTATAAAAAAAAAAAAGCTCTCTCTCTCTCTCTCTCTCTCTCTCTCTCTCTCTCTCT